GGGGGGAGCTTATTTCTTGCACTATCTGTTTCACAAATCAAATTAATATTAATTTTGTGATGCGAGTATTTCATTACAGAATACAGAAATAACTTACCTTTTGAGACTAAACCAGTTTGCCCACAATCCGCTATCCACCAAGTTATGATAAACTCAACAGTAAAACTCTGAAACAAAGAATAAAAGAAAAAAACCCAGTAAGCTTGAGCTTCAAAAGTGGCTCTTATGGAAGAGTTCTTGAGAAGATGCAACTTCAGCGCTTTGTGCATCGTTCGTAAGGCTGGGCTCAACCAAAGGTTTAGACTTGCTATGTCACCACTTTAAAAAGAGTATTCTGCTATCCATTTGCATTGACAGAGATGTTGGTTTTGGTTCTAAAGAAGATATATTTGGATAGGGTAAGATAAATCTTTATTGTCCAGATCCCGGCCCAATAACTGTTAACAATAAAAGTGTTCATTAAGCTAGGTACATAACATATCTGAAATGATTATCTTTTCTAGTCGCGTGATCCTTATGTTGCTGGCTTCCTGCCATGCTTTAAAACTGTGAAATGCTCCGAGTGTACACCGGAGAGAGGCGCCGTGGAAATGTGATGTACTCCAAAACTATCGTGGACGAGATTACACGCAAGCACATTTTCAGTGAAAAGGAACCCAATAGCACAATAATGGCGATTTAATACAGAAGGGGGAAATCAAGAAACTCACATAGATCTAAAAGCAATAGAGGGAAGGGGGGGGGGTGAATAGGACTTTACTGTGACATCCTCCAACCTCCCACTATGAATTGTTTTTCTTTTGGCATATATGCCAACATGTGAAGGTAAAGTGAAATTCAGCGACATTGACCGGTTTTTGTATATTATTATGCGCTCTTTCTTTGCTTTGGTTCTAAATGTAGGTGTTTTTTAAAACCCCATCGATACAATTTAGATTATATAGCAGGCGAGCTTCAATCCTGCATGTCAGGGCCATCGTGACATGAGATGGATACCAAATCTCAACAAGAAAGACCGAGATACTCGACAACAGTTCTCCTCACATGGGAATCGAACTCGCCACAGACGCTGGAGGCAAAAAAAAGCCTTACCGATACACCTCAGACGCCGGGTTTCGTATGGGGGGGGGGGGCTAAGAAAGCAACCCTGAAATGGTTTAAACAAAAAGTACATCAAATATACCGGAAATTTAGATCCCTTTAAGTTAAAGAGGTCAGATTACTTTTATCTGGCTCATATAATAAATAATATGGTGAGAGTGCGTTTTCGTTAGTTTTAGTTGAAGCAGGACTTCTCAGGTTCATACTGAAAAGATATTATGTATCGTTACGACTGTTATTCTATCTCTGTGGGACAGTTGAGGTCTCACTGACATGAATTATGCACGAATTAAGTTATTCAGTACACATAACGTCATATGATATACAGTATCACAATTCAGGCAATATAAGCACACCACTAATAGATACCACACTATGAGGCCTTAGGATTTCTATGATTTAGAACGTGCAGTCAAGAATGATAGTGGTGTAGGAGAAACCGGTAGACTGGCTGTTCTTTCGTCTGTCTATATGTGTGCTTATCTGTAGTCACATTCAAATAATAATAAAAATAATAATAATAATAATAATAATAATAGTAGTAGTAGTAGTAGTAGTAGTAGTAGTAGTAGTAGTAGTAGTAGTAGGCCATTATAATAGCAATATTAATGATATTAATAACGATGATAATAATAACAATACCAATAGCAATAATAATTATTATTATTATCAAGATGATGATGATGATGATGATGATGATGAGGAGGAGGAGGAGGAGGAGGAGGAGGAGGAGGATGATGATGATGATGATGAGCTGTGTAAATTAAACAAATTTTAAACATGTTCTATTTGTATGTTATTTTGTCTGAAATTCAAACAAGACTCTCCATCCTACTCTGCTTTCCAATCAATGATGATGATGATGACGATGATGATAACAATAAATAATAATAATAATAACAATAACAATAATAATAATAATAATAATAATAATAATAATAATAATAATAATAATAATAATAATAATAATAATATAGTTGCATTATACAGCGCATATCCACGCCCTGCTCTTCTACAGCATGCTCTATGCGCTTTACAACCTTTATCTTGATATCATCTTCGGTGTTAAATTACGTTTGACGCACTAACATCGACAATTAATCCAATAACTAAATGCTGACGAAACAGAACGCCTTAACTCCCCACTTCACAATGATTCCATCAGGAATATGCAGTGGTAGATAAAGAGTTTATATAGAGTTTTATTTATAATCTTCTTTGGTGGTAGACGATCTCTAACTTTTGGGTGACGTCATAGCATGTAATTTCGCTTCGATAGTGTTGTATCTCGTACCACAAATAGTGGTAGGGAATTGGATCGATTTGTCATTGTTCTACGTCGTCTTTATGCAAAGTTGTTTCTATTTTCGGTCTCAAGTCGTTTCGAGTATAACAAATGGCTTGATCGATTCGCTTTTCTCGAATTGGAAAAACCATGCAGCATTTGAGAATGTGACTTTTAAGCTGCCCGACAGCTGTTAGACATCAATTGAAATTTGAGATGAACAATTAACTATTCTTCTGAACTTCGATTTCCATCCAACTACTGATCATTTGAAATTTGAGATAGAAAAAAAAAGAAAAAAAAAAGAGATCGCTTTGACTTTCTTTCTCCAGACGTCTGACGTCATCAACACTGAAAGCCCCCACGTACCGTCGGAAAAACCCAGGGAAATAACGAAAGAAAGAAGTCACTTAAATCTAAAAAAAACCTTTAACACCTCACAACTTATCAAACTAGCTGACATCGATCAGAACAGACAGAAGGAGGAGACAACTCGAGAATTCGGCAGACAAAAATTGACAGCGAAAGAAAATTATTTTAAAAATTATTATTACTATTATTCTGTATTTTGTAGGAAGGGAGAAGGGAAGGCTTGGAGTGGACTAAAATAAAACGAAGGAAAATTGAACCGGCTGAAGGACTAAAAATGCAGACTACTTCAGAGTGGCCACCAAGAGTGCTCCCGGCCCAAGAAAGAGAGATTCAGATTCAGATAGATAATTACAACAAGTTAAAAAAGAAGAAACAAATGATCGAAACAATTATTTTTAAAAAGGGGGGGGGGCGGTAAAAGAAGAGAAATGGTTGAGGGAGGGGGGAGAGAAAAGAATTTTTGGTAAACGAGGAAAGCGGTTTGATGACAGCTCGTGGGAAAGGAAGTGGCCACATCCGTTTGTCTGCTTGGCTATATTGGGGCACACTGACACGACAAGGGTCATTTAGTATAGAGAAAAAGCAAGACAGACAAGCGAATAAAACTGTGAATTTTAAAAAAATAACATGACGTAGCGATGGCGAGCTCAGGCCATCCAAGAACGTGGCGAACACACAGTGAGAAAATAAAACGTTTTTCCTTCATCCATAACACTCCCTGAAAGCCATATACTTGATCGCAGATCTCTGACGCCTGAGACAGTGTCATGCTTCTCCAAAATTCCCAACCAGAGGAAATCTCCCTGGGGGAGGGGGGGGGAGCTATTCTTATGCAAAAAAGAAGGTGTTGTTGTTGAGAGGCGTTTTTCTCGGCTCAGGTTTGCTCGGCTTTCGGGTGGAATTTGGAGTTTACTCTCACAACACTGATGCGTCTGCGTCTGCAAAAACCTAAAATAGAACGAGAATGTCAGTAAGATATCCTGTTGGACATCAATTGCTTTTCTGCAGCATTGTGCGAAGCAATGCCATGGGCTGGTATGGGTTTCGTTTTCGTTTTTACTTTTAAGAGAATGGTGCTCTTCGACACCGTAGCAGTCTTTTAGTATTAGGAAAGAACAAAATCAAGAAGAAACGACGTGGGGAGTAATAAAGTTGGACCTACCAATCACATCCTCATACCATCAGCTATGACAGACGTCTCCCAATTCAGTCAAATTTAGCATCTCTTATAATTTCTAATTTCGTAGCAGTCGATAAACCTTTTTTTTTCTCAGACAGCCTTTCAGACTTGATTTGTCTGCACAAAAGAGTGCAATCTACGAAAATCTAGGAAATTTGCTGTTTTATCAGTTTTTGGTTTCGAAGAAATCGCCCACTGTTGCGTCTATGGACGGCTGATTAATTTCGTCTTTTCGTTCTTTGTGGTTGAGCGAGCTTCATTTCACTCTGGTTATTTCTGTCGTTCAGAAATTTCATCTTTATGGGGAAGTATTTGAGCACCGCTAACGATATATTGCCAAAAAATAATTATTGCAAATCTTTTACGCCTCCTTCGACACAATCTAGATCGTTCAAAATGTGAGCTTTCAGGGTCGAGGTAAAGTGGGTCGAGATCATAATTTGAACATTCCTAAAACGAATCATCATGGACGCCTTAGTAGGATTTGAACAGGGAACATCCACAATGTCGTCCAACCTGATACCGACGACCTTTGAGGACTAAACTTCCAGTGTCGTCGGCATGGGATCGGCGAATGGTCCGAGGCACCACACCGCCCCCAACCCAGCCTCGCCCCTTTCCCCTTAGATTTATAGAGGGGGAAAATGCCTTTAAAGGGGCTTTCAGTTTGGTCTGAAAATATCAAAATACAAGGCACATAACATGACACTCGTTTAATAAGCCCCCAAAATAAAGGCCACTGATCCACCTTCAGCAAGGAAGGTATACTGCAAAAAGTTGAACGTTTGTTTCTTCTTTCAGAACAATTTACGAATATCAACTAACTCATCAAAATGTTCATTGAGCATAAACAATAAAATTCATTGAGAAATATAAGAGAGTAAATTTTCATTTTAAGTTTTAAACGAAGCTACTGACAAACACACCATTCCGGCAACGGACATATTATATTTTAGTGCGTTGAAACTCCGAGACAGACAGACAGAAGTACAGAAGCGCGCAGCATGCTCTATGCGCTTTACAACCTTTATTTTGATATCATCTTCGGTGTTAAATTACGTTTGACGCACTAACATCGCCAATTAATCCAATAACTAAATGCTGAGGAAGCAGAACGCCTTAACTCCCCACTTCACAATGATTCCATCAGGAATATGCAGTGGTAGATAAAGAGTTTATATAGAGTTTTATTTATAATCTTCTTTGGTGGTAGACGATCTCTAACTTTTGGGTGACGTCATAGCATGTAATTTCGCTTCGATAGTGTTGTATCTCGTACCACAAATAGTGTTAGGGAATTGGATCGATTTGT